ACGTTAAAGTACGTAGTAAACGAGGTACTAATTATAAAAAAGTAATTCTTAATACTAAAATTAATATTAATAAAGAACTTTTATAATAAACCTTTATTATTATATAAAAATAGAGCTTATAAAAACTACTTTATTAAGTACTAAATAAAGTTTTATTAGGTTTTAAATATTTAAACTAGGCCTATAGACCTTTATAACGCTTTAATAATAGTATTTTCGTAACGCTCTTATATTTAAATATAAAAAATAGTAATTATTATAACCGCTACTAAAACTACTTCTTTTTTACTTTTATATTTAATTAATAAAAAGCTATAAAAAAAAGTAGTATAAAATATATAATACTTTATTAAATAATAAAAAGAGTAGTTTATAAGACCTATTTAGAGCGCTCTAAAGGAGTTTAAAAACTACGACTTATTAAAGTTAATTTTTAGAACTTATTAAAGAAGTTTAGTAATATTAAATATTTTTTATAATAACTATAAAAGGTACTTAAGGATACTATAGATATAGAAATAAAAAAGCTAAGGGATATTAGTATATAAAAAGAAGTTAATTATAATTTTAAATAAAGGATCTTATTTTTATTAAAATAAGTATATATTTATAAGTACGATACTAATAACGAGGTTTATAAAGTAAAAGTACGTATATATATAAGGGGGGATATATAACTACTTAACTTTTTATAAAATACGTATACTTTAACGCTTATTATAAAAGCCTTTAGGTTTATAATAGTAATAGTTACTTAATTTGATTTTAAAACTAACTAATATAATATTATTAATATATTTTTTAACGCGCCTCTTAAGAGCGAGAAATTAGTAATTATTAAACTTTTAGAGGGATATAAGGTTATTAATAAAATAAGTAAACTTTAATACGCTTTATATAGCCTCTAAGACTTACTAATTCTTTAGTTTTAAACTTTTACCTCTATACTTCGTAATATAAATATAATATATAGTTACGAGGAGATCTATATTTACTAAACCGTAAATAGGAAAGTAATATTAGTATTTTATATTAACGATTTTATAGTTTTATATTATTAAAATAATTAAAAAGTAGCTTAGGGGATTATTAATAATATAAAAGAATATATTAATTTTAAAGAGAATAGACTAATTAATTATTTTTTTAGAGTACGGATTTTATAAAACCGTATTATTTATAAGGTTTATTTTATTTATAACGTACATATTAAGCAAGTTATTAAGCGCTTTAAGTTTATAAATTTATTATATTTAGTTACCCCTTTTTTTTAAAACGAGTTTAAACTAAATAAGAGGTAAGTAATAAAAGAGGAAATAAAAAGTTATTAAGAAAAGGTTAGAAATATGTTTTATATAGCTATAATAATTAGACTAAATATTACTTTTATTTATTTATAATTATTACGGTTCTTAACTAACCTAAGCGTAACTTATATTAAAATAATTAACTATTATATTTAATATTTTTACGTAATAAAATATTTTGCGCTTTATTATAATAGTATACTAAGTATATAATTATTATTTCTAATTAAAAATACTAACTTTATAAATAATAAAGTAATATAACGATTATTTTAAGGATATATAATATTTTTTTTTAGTAGCTTAATTTAATAAAAATTAGTATACTAAGTAATAATTACGACGTTAATTACTAAAGCTAAGTTTTTTTATTTTAAAAAAACTATAAAAAAAATTATAGCTCTAAAACGCCTTTTTAAAAATATTACCCTTAACTTAAGAGAAATATAGTTAATTAACTACGATAATTAGTAAACGATTTAACTCGTTATAAAAAAAAAGAAAAATATAATTACTTAACTTCGTTATATTAATATATAAAATATATAGCTAAAATAAAAGTATATTAAAAACAGCTTCGAGGTTATTTATATATTAATAAAAAATATATTAATAAATAGACTTATTAAAAACTTTTTATAAGCTAAGTTCGAATATTTTTATATATTTCTTAACTTTTATAATACGTAAGAAGTTATTATAAATAGCTAAAATAATTAAAAATAATTAATTTAAGCTATATTTAGAAAAACTTAATATTTAAAAATAAATAATAAATAGAACTTAGAGTACGGCTTAGAGGTTTAAAATAAATAAAATAAAACTTTTTTTAGTTTAAAGGCCTAAACTCCTAAAATAACCTTACCCTATAGGATATACGTATATAAAAATAAAACCTAAGCTTATACTTACTATTTAAATTACTAATTTATAAAGTATACGATTATTAAAATTATAATATTATTAATAAAAAGAGTAAATATATGTATTAAGAACCGCGCTTTACGTACTTCAAAGTTTATAAAACTAAGAGTAATAGGGGTAATAAGGGGTACGGGAAGTAAAATAATTATTAAGTTAATAACTTAGAGTATAGAAATAAGTAGTATAATAAGAGGCTAGTTATAAATAATTATAATAAGTATAATTAATAATATAAATATATTTAAAAGAGGGGGCGGGGGGTATATAAGGAAGAAGTCCTCTATATAAAACCCGATATAGTTTTTATATATCTTCTTATTATTTTTTATATAATAAATAATAATATAAAACTTATTAATTTTTTATTAAAACTATAATTAAGAGTGCGCTTTTTAATAATAAAAAAGGATAATATATTTATAATAAAAGGAGCGTTATTTATAATAGCCTTAGTAAGAGCCTAGGTTATTAATTATATAATAATTAGTATATTAATATACCCCTCGGCTAAATAGCTATTAAAATAGTATATATATTAACTATTACTTTTTATAAAATAATATTTATTATTCTTAGGGTTAGTAAATTAAAGAGTTATTTAAAAATAAAGTATATATTATACTAACTATTCCTCGGGAGCCGCTTTTTTAAGCTTTTTAGGGACTAAGTATATATTAATTAAGCTTAGAATAATAAAAAGAACTATATTTATTATAGGGAGTACTTTAGCCTCTTAATATTTTTTTTTATTTTTTATTACTTTTTTAAAAAGAGTTAGCTTTATATTTTTTAAATTTTAAAATATTATTAAAAACGAAGTCTTAAAATAATAATATATAATATACCCTTTTTAAAAAGTTTAATATTTAAAATATTTTTATTTTTATTTTTAAACTCCGAGGGGGGGATAAATAAAAGCTTTTTAAAGCTTTTATTATTATTATTTACTTTATTATTACCCTTATTATAATTATTAATAAGAGCTTTAAACTTAATAAAGTTCTTAGTATTTTTATTAATAGCCTCGATATTTTTTTAATTAAAAAAAGAGAGCTTAGTAGCCGGGCTTTAATAAGTAAATAGGAGGTTATAGAGGGGGGTAATAACTTAAAAGGGCTTATTAATATTATTATTTATTTAAATTCTTAATAAACTATATAATACGTATATAAAAAATATTATAGAAATTATATAAAACTTATTATTATTTTTAAATATATTAAATATTTATATTCAAAATAAAATTAATAAATAATTTAATAATATAAGCGCACGTATATAATAAATAGGAGTACTTATAGTAATTATAAAAAGGTTAAAAAGAGGAAAAAAAATAATAGCTAAGTAACGCTATAAGAATTTAGATATATATAAAGTAGCTAAGTAACCTCGCCCTTAGTAATTTATATACTAAAAATAGTAAAATACGTACTATTCTAAGTTAAGATTTTATTTACTTTAAATAAAAAAATATATTTATAATAAACGTAGTTTAAAAAACGCGTATCCCTTATATTTATTTTTTTATTATTTATATTTAACTAAATTAGGCCTTTATAAAAATATTTAGAAGTTCTATTTTAGGTATAATAGTTCCTTAGTAATAATAATTAGGGAGTATATTACGTAATAAGGATAGTAACTATATTTTATAAAGTACTTATTACGTACTAAATCATATATCTATTTTAGATATCGTATATATAGACCTTTTCCTTTTATCTATTTCTACTTTAATATATTAAGCCACTTTTACCACACTCCGTATGCCCATTGCTGCGTGCCATAACTCGTGACAGATTTCCTCAACAGAAACCCCGCCAGCCATAGGTAACTCTACGCGTCTGACGCAACCCCGAAGTAGCGAGTCTGTCGTCAGTTGATGTCCAAACATCAAGCAAGGCTCGCATGATTGTTAGAGACAACCACACAGCGCGCTCCACTACAGAACGGGGTATCTATGCACCGCGTAATGATAGGAGTCGAATCACCATGAAGATCGAGTCGTTCTGGATAAGAAATTGCTGTCCGTAGATGCTTGTCTAAGCCTCAGGATTGACACCCCGAGGATGACTCCGTGGGTTTCGAGCCGACAGCATCCGCTGCGAGATGCCCAGGGAACCGTCGGGACGTCACCGAGGTCTAAGGAGTGATACGGGGACGTTGTCCCGGCCCACACAAACGCCGAGCTCCCGGCTACGTAGCTCCCGTCCTTCCATGACGGCCCGGCACAGGTATCTAGGGATGAATCTACGTACCTTACAGCGAGGTATCTAGGTACTTTCTCCCATTGAAGGGAAGGAGCGTTACCAAATTCAGAGTCCAGGCCGGACCTGCCCGACAAGGGTGTAAGCAACGAGGAAGTCGCGAGTTGGCTCATTGAGAATGCCGGAGCCTCTGATAGAATTTATGGCTGACAATCGAGAGCCGAGACTGGAAGTTTCCGCAGAAAATCCCAGCCAGCTCCGTTCTCTTGTCCTCCTTGGTCTCGAATCTTCCTCTTTCAATGGCTTGCTTACGCCCCAGATCGGCTCGTTGGACTGACTGGCTTATCAAGCATTGTACCCTCGGGCTCGTCGAAGTTCCCGCGTGGCACCTTCAGCCGCCCATCAGACCTCCATTCTTCACATTCAGGCTCACTTCTGACCAATGTATTAAATCGCCTCTTCCCCTTTTGTCAACATCTTGACGTTTGCTAATATCAGGAAGTCTCTCTACCTGCCACGGTTCAAACCCCATAGTCGAGCCATTTGCACGCTCCGCCCCAAGATGCCATCCTTCACCGCCGATAACATCCCCGATCTTCGCGATCAGGTGATTATTGTTACTGGAGGAAACGTCGGTCTTGGCTTCGAGACGATACGGCAGCTCAGCAAACACAACCCAGCCCGAATTTATCTTGCAGCCAGGTCTCGAGACAAAGCCGAAAAGGCTATCCAAGAACTCCAACAACAGAACCCTAAAACAACAAACATCGTCTTCCTCGAACTTGATCTAGCATATTTTAACAGCGTCAAGGCTGCCGCGGTCGAATTCCTCAAGAAAGAATCTAGATTGGACATACTCGTCAACAATGCTGGCATCATGATGACCCCCGAGGGCCTTACCAAGGAAGGGTATGAGATCCAGTTCGGAACCAACGTGATGGGTCCAGCGCTGTTTACCCAGCTTCTGCTACCGGTCATACGAGAAACGGCCAAGACGAACCCCGAGACGCGTGTCGTCATGCTGTCTTCGAGTGCTCACGCCCTAGCCCCGAACGATATCTACAAGTTCGAAGAAATCCGAACAACAATGCCTAACCGAGCTACTACCCAACGATACACCATGTCGAAGCTTGCTGACCTCCATTACGCCAAGGCTTTGGCAAAGCGAGAGAAACAAGTCAAGATCGTTCCTGTCCACCCGGGGATGGTTGCGACCAATCTTCACCATGCTTCCACCGGCATGTTTCTCAAACCTTTCCTGTATGCAGCCATCTTCTTCGCCACGCCTGTGGAGAAGGGTGCCTTATCGCAGATCTGGGCAGCTGTGAGCCCTGACGCCAAGAGCGGGCAATACTACGGTCCTACTGCTAAGGCGGAATCTGGTTCGAAGCTCAGCCAGGACCGCGAACTTCAGGAGAGCATTTACGGTTGGATCCAAAAGGAACTCAAGGGGCATGTGGAAACCATTGACTGATGGGTATACCGATGTGGCATACTAGATCATCGAGTGGTAGGAAACACCAGACCCGGCGACTGTTCCGGCCGAGCGATATATCTAAGCATATTCGACTTGGTTGGGTGGGTGGAGGAAAGTCTTGTTGCATTTCAGTCTGGGGCTCAAAGACATGCAATGAACCTGAGTAATGAATCAAAAGCGAATTCAAGAGACTTGATATGCAAAGATCGGTCAATTGGCTGCAAGTGATCGTTTAGTCTGGCCCCGTCGACCTGCATTACCCCAGATCCCCGAACCGAACCGAACCGAGCCACATGGTGATCGAAAGGAACAAAAAGAATCCTCGAAGGAACTGCTTGCCAATAACTATACCAACAGTAGTGTCATCGTGTGTTCCATGGACAGTCTGCATCGTTTCATTCTATTCGATTCCTGGAACAAAGGACCACCAGGGCGTCAGTCGCTTTAGCAGGATTATCATGGGTAATTCACCTGCAGCAACATCGGCCGAAAAGCCCCAAGAGACGAACTCAGAGCAGTATGGAAACACCCAGAGTGCTCTGGATCGCGTGATCACAGCCGCATCTTATGTTCCTCCTGAAATGAGCCCGATCCGTCGCCGCGCCGTCATGTGTGCCCTCTGCCTGACTCTTCTACTTAGCGCCCTGGACATCACCATCATCGCCACAGCCTTACCCACCATCGCAGCAACTCTTCAGGCCACGGCATCGGAGTACGCGTGGGTGGGAAGCGCGTACACCTTGTCCAGCACGGCATCCACACCGGTCTGGGCTAAGATGTCCGACATATTCGGCCGGAAGCTCACAATTATGACTGCGGCAGCAACGTTCATGGCGGGAAGCCTGATCGCGGCCTTGGCTGGGAACATTCAAGCTCTCATCGCTGGGAGGACTGTACAGGGGCTCGGGGGAGGTGGATCGTTGGTCCTAGTCACGATTGTGATTGGCGATATTTTCAAGTTGGAGGATCGGGCCAAGTACTATGGCATGACTGGCATCGTCTATGGGATTGCGAGTGCGGTCGGCCCAGTACTTGGAGGTGTCTTTACACAGACGATTGGATGGAGATGGTGTTGTGAGAAGGAACCCCCAAATACAATACGGAGTGGCATGGAACTGACATTTGATAGTCTTCATCAACTTGCCGTTCGACGGCGTTGCCCTGGTGGTGTTATTCTTCACCCTCAAGGTTGAAACCCCCAAAGAGTCATTCATTGCCGGTCTTCGGGACCTCGATTGGATTGGGTTCCTTCTCATCATAGGTGGCACAATCTGCTTCCTCTACGGCCTCGAAACAGGTGCTGGTGGCATCGTACCCTGGAACTCTGCTTTGGTCATCTGCCTCATCCTGTTTGGGGTCCTCATTCTCGCGCTCTTCATTGTATGGGAGGCTCGCTTCGCGAAGAACCCCGTTATTCCATTCCGAATCTTCCAAAAGGTCACCAATATTGCCTCTTTCACCCTTGCTTGCATCCACAGCTTCGTATTCATTGCATACGACTATTTCCTCCCGCTGTACTTCCAAGTTGTCCTTGGTTTCAAACCGATCATCGCTGGAATCACGCTGTTTCCTCTACTCATTCCGCTCACGGTCATGACAATGCTCGGGGGGCTGTTCACCCGGAAGACTGGTAACTACATTATTCCCATCTTCTTTGGTTCGGCGCTCATGACTCTTGGGAATGGCCTGTTCATCAGCTTTGGCATCAGCACGGAATGGGCCAAGATTGTGGCATTTCAAATGATCACTGGGTTCGGTGCCGGTGTGCTCTTCCAAAGTCCCATGATCTCAATTCAGACTCACACGGAGCAAAAGGATATGGCGGCTGCTATGTCGGCCTTCAGTTTTGTGAGGTCTCTCTTTTCTTCGATGTCCATTGTCATCGGGACAGTGTTGTTGCAGCATAACCTCGGTGGTGGAGAGCTGACGGCAGGGAAGCTTGGTTCTGAGAATGGGAACGATGGGACTTCAGGGGCTAGCAAGGCTATCTACATGTCTGCTTTGCGTGTGATGTGGGCATTCTTTACTGGCGTTTCTGGTTGCATGCTTCTAGCTGCGATATTCATCAAGCCGAAGTCGACAAAGTCAGGTCAGCCCAATACAAGCTCATAGAAATTTCTCCAGACATTCCAGAAATTGAATAGTCTTTCAGAGTACTGTTGCGTGTCTCGGCATTGGAAATGATTTCAAGGGCCGGTACTTGACTTCTTATGCCGACCGAGCAAACTGAATTATGAGTCACGGCGATTATGAGCTGTAGGGGGGACAGAGTACAGGCGAAAGAATATATGAGGTATAAAGTAGATACAAGAATAACCGCCAACACCTTAAATCCTTAACATAGAAACAGTTGAGTTAGTGCGGATAGCACTTTAGTACTTCTTCAAGTCGAAGCGGTCAAGGTTCATGACCTTGTCCCAAGCAGCGACGAAGTCCTTGACGAACTTCTCGTTGGCGTCAGAGCTGGCGTAGACCTCAGAGATGGCACGGAGCTCGGCGTGGGATCCGAACACGAGATCGGCGCGGGTGGCGGTCCACTTCTCGGCCTTGGTCTTGCGGTCGACACCGGTCCAGGTCTCGCCCTCGGTGTCGGTCTTGGACCAGACGGTGGAGATGTCGAGCAAGTTGATGAACCAGTCGTTGGTCAACTGGCCCTTCTTGGCGGTAAGAACACCAGTGTTGGACTGGTCGAAAGTGGCGCCGAGGGCGCGGAGACCACCGACGAGAACAGTCAGCTCGGGGGCGGAGAGGGTAAGCTGCGAGGCCTTGTCGACGAGGATCTCCTCAGTGCGAGCGCGGGCGGTGCCCTTGCCATAGTTGCGGAAACCGTCGGCCTGGGGCTCGAGGTAGTTGAAGGCGCGGACGTCGGTCTGCTCCTGGGTGGCGTCGACACGGCCGGCAGTGAAGGGGACGGTGACGGCCACACCAGCGTCAGAAGCGGCCTTCTCGACGGCGGCGGCACCACCAAGAACGATCAAGTCGGCGAGGGAGACCTTCTTGGCACCGGTGTTGAAGCTGGTCTGGATCTTCTTCAGGGCGTCGATGACCTCGGCGAGGACGGTAGGGTTGTTGGAAACCCACTTGTTCTGGGGCTCGAGGGCGATACGGGCACCGTTGGCACCACCACGCTTGTCGGAGTGACGGAAGGTCGAGGCGGAGGCCCAGGCGACGGAGGCGAGCTTGGAGACGTCGAGACCGGCGGTGCCAAGAATGTCAGACTTGAGCTTGGTCACGTCAGCATCGTCAATGAGCTCACCTTCCCTAGCGGGAAGGGGATCCTGCCAGCCGAAAGTCTCCTTGGGGATCTCAGGACCGAGGTAGCGGGCGACGGGACCCAAGTCACGGTGGAGAAGCTTGAACCAAGCCTTGGCGAAGGCGTCGGCGAGCTCCTGGGGGTGGTCGAGCCAGCGGGTGGTGATGTTGAGGTAGGACGGGTCGTTGATGAGAGCCAAGTCACTGGTGAGCATGGTGGCCTTGCGGAACTTGGTGCTGTCAAAGGGGTCGGGGTAGTCGAGGGTGCCGTTGACAGCCTCCCACTGGTGAGCGCCAGCAGGGCTGGTGACGAGGGTCCATTTGTTGTGAATGAGAGACTCCAAGTAGCCGTTGCTCCATCTGCAGGTACAAGGATTAGCGTCGGTGTGTCACTGCATAATCACCCGGTGTGGTTGGTGTATAAATAGCTTTTCTTGGCCTCATCGTTTGTCGCCTCATCATTTCTCTCATGACCTTCTCTTTCTCTCAAAGGCGAGTATTCGGCAAATGAGAGATACAAGACCTCTCAAGAGTGAGTGAGAAGGGGGGAAATGGGAGTGACTGGAGTGCCAAGACCCTGAGGGGCGCAAATCATATGCAAACGGAAAAAGACTCATCACAATCATGACTTACTTGGTAGGGGTCTTGGTCCAGACAACCTCAAGACCACTGGTCATCTGGTTGACACCGTTGCCATCGCCAACGCTGTTGTGCCATCCGAGACCCATCTCGCCAAGGTCAGCGGCCTCGGGCTCGCCTCCAATGTTGCCTGTGAGAGACGCCGGTCAGCATTTGCATGTTCCAAAAGTGGCGGTGAAAATCGTGTGTTCCCGGGGGTGAGCCGGAGCTCTCTCCGAAGACGCTCTATTATTGCGCGTTCGTCCGACTAGCACCGAAATGGTGAAGAGGGGACGCGTGAATGAGGTGCAACTCACTTGCAGGCACAGCACCGTGCGTCTTGCCGAAGGCGTGTCCACCGGCGATCAAAGCGACAGTCTCCTCATCGTTCATTCCCATGCGATCGAAAGCGACGCGGATGTCCTTGGCCGAAGCGGCGGGGTCGGAGCTGGCATCGGGGCCCTCCGGGTTGACGTAGATGAGACCCATGTGGGTAGCACCCAGGGGCTTCTCAAGCTTGTCGGCGCGCTCGTTGATGTCGGTGCTGCCATTGTAGCGGACATCGTTGCCCTTGGGGACGAAAGTCGTCTCTCCACCCCAGTAGACGGACTCATCGGATTGCCAGGTATCGGGACGGCCAGCGGCGAAGCCAAGGGGGGTGAAGCCCATGGACTCGAGGGCGACGTTGCCGGTGAGCAAGTACAAGTCGGCCCATGAGATCTTGTTGCCGTACTTTTGCTTGATAGGCCCTGTAAAACATGGAAGAGGTAGGATTAGCAAACGTTTCTTCTCTCTCTCTATCTCTCAAGAGCCCCACAACATCGCTCTACGTAGTACTCGCGCCATCGAGCCACGGCAAAGTGGATATCGCTACCGAGTCGATGATGCAAGTCGAACATGGGTGGGCCGAATCACAAAAGAGCGCATAAGGATGGGAAATCTTACACAGCAGGCGGCGAGCCTTGTCGAGGTTCTGGTTGTCAGGCCAGCTGTTAAGCGGAGCGAAACGTTGTTGGCCCTGCAGCAGTCCAATATTAGTAAACGCCAGTCCTCAAGAAGAATCAAACTGATGCAGAGATGTGATAAGATGCAAACAGCCCAGGTCCATATTTCGTGACGCGGTGCGAGTGGAGAAAAAGCCGACGGAGATGCTTTAGCACCTCTTGGCTTTGATCCGGGATAGGACAAAAACCTCCGTCTAACCAATTGATCTTCCAACGCGAGACGAATAGGACCGCGAAGAGATGATCAAGTGCAACGGTAGGCAAGGAATAAGAAATATGCTAAAATGGAGGGGGGGTTACAACGCGGTGTTTCTTCCAGCTACCTCGTGCCAAGTGGGAAAGCACTAGGAAGACCGGGAGAGCGGGGGGGGGGGGGGGAAGGACTTTCGGGATAGCATAGCCAAAGAGAAGAGAGTAAAACATAAGCCAAGAGGTGCAGTGAAGAAAAAACGGCTCACCATTCCACCGCCACCTCGGCCGTCAATGGCGCGATAAGTGCCGGCGCTATGCCAGGCCATGCGGATGAAGAGACCGCCATAGTGGCCAAAGTCGGCGGGCCACCATTCCTGGGACTCCGTCATCAGGGTGTGGAGGTCCTTCTTCAGAGCCTCATCTGTCGTGGGGTGTTAGTGAGGATCCTCCCAAACATCGTTTATTCTTCCCCCTCCCAATAGAATCTACTCACAATCCAAAGAGTTGAAAGCCGCAGTGTAATCGAAATCGCCTCCATACGGGTTGGTCGCGGGTTGGAATTGGCGAAGAGTATCGAGTCTAAGCTGGCAAGGCCACCAGTCGTGGCTGCGGGTGCCGCCGCCAGCCTGGTTGCTGATTCTCGAGCATCGGCCGAAGCCCTCGGCCGTGTCCCTCTTGGGGAGCTCGCTGGTGACGGAACCATCGCGTTTGGCGAAAGGGCAACCCTCAGCCGTGACGGCGGGCAGGAGAGCAGAAGCTGCCAAAAGGCAGCTTGAAAGTTTGGCGTGCATGTTGACAAGACAGGTTGATCCAGAGGACGTTCAAAGAAGGAATGACTAGGTGAGAGTGAGACCGGGGGGTAGCAGACTCAACGGGTGAGAGATGAGTGTGTTCCTGAAGAAGAGGAAACAGATCTTTATTCCAAGATGGGACGAACCCCAGGACATAAGTAATAAACTGTGACGACCTACGACTCACGAGCAATGACACGGTTTCTGGGCAGGTACCACGAGCCACGATGGAGCATCTCCATGTGGGAATAATTTGATTCCAGAACTCCATGATTAGTAACAATACCAAGACCTGCGAAGGCCGCTTCCAAGCCCGGCGTCCCCAATGCTGCGCAAGGCATCGCTGACGGGGGCCTTGGTAATAAGCTTCCTACAACGGCAGTCGAGTCGGTATTGCGCACTAAGATGCCCCATAGCAAGGTTTGCGATCCAGAATAAGCGCCTGGAATAACAATCTTGTTTGATTAGGATGGGCGTGAACATACGCAGATTGGCAGATGGCTCTTTGGTGTGGTCTGGTCCGCTTTTCACACTTTTGGGCGGGGATTGTGTCCTAAGCGATGTCCATATGGGTGAAACTTACGGCAACTTGTATGGAGAAGACATGGGGCCCAAGGAGGAGAACACACCAGGATGGAGTTGGCGTGGCCGGGATCATGAGTTCAGATGTTGATCCATAGCCAGGCATAAGCTAGGGAATCCGGGGAGCTGACGAGCTGTGCTCCCTGCTCCGATGGTCAACAGTCAACAGTATGATGCGGGCCGGTGCCAAGTTACTGGGTGACTGGAAGAGTAAGGTAGTATTTCTGTAAAGCCTGCAATAATTCACACCAACCGCGACCAATTGTGCGATGACAGTTTCCAAGCTGCGGGAGCCACTTTTGAATCTAATAGACTTCGCCCCCTAAACTCCGAAGAGCAACAAATCGGATCATATCAACCCGCCCTCTCCCTGCTATATCCTGCTGTACCCTGTCTGTAAACACCACTTAGAAGTTAGGACTGCATATACACTTAGCATGTACGGAGCTGCCCGCGCGCAACGGGCTAATTGATGCCTCCGTCATTCATCTGGCTTCTGCGGACTTGCGACTTCGTTCCTAGCGAAGCTCCTAGAGAGTCTCGAGAATCCATGTCCAAGCAAAACCCCCCGAATGCAATGCCGGGTGGGAGACTAGACAACCTAGCTGTAGACAACCTGCCATTACAGGTCTAGACTCTAAAGAGTCGCACAAGGTTTTGGCCCAAATCGCGACCACCCAACATGGGATGAAGGAAGCTTTTCATCAATCGTGCATTGACTCAGCCCTACCTCCCTCTGGCGGCGGGCAAGTATTTGGGTGTGGAAAGAAGCAAAAGCAAGCCTCTGGAGGGGAGGATCTGGAACCCGAACGCCTCCCCCCTCCTAGACGACCCTCCTCGACGATCCATCCCCGCGCGCCGGCCGGCCGTTGATGGCGGCCTTCAACGGCCTCGACTGGAACGCACGGCACAGAAACACTCGGAACCACAGTCCACAGACACACTGCAAGGTGACACCACCCACACAGACATGCGGGCGGGATGGGATGCAGCCAGGCGGCGTGGCAGATCAGCACGCCAGCTGCAAGCACGAAAGAAACCCTCGACAGGCCGGGCCAACCCAGCCAGCACCACCATCCTGAACAGGAAGGCTAGATTTGAGGTACGCGAGTATTCGTGCATGCACCTTACAGTAAGAGAGCTGTCGGCCGAAAATCCTGCGACCCCGGCTGTGCCCGTGCCAAAAGATTGCCCCCGAGTAATACTGTATAGCCACATCAGTCACCCCGTCCACCTGTTCTGCCAAGATGCTTGGCGAGGTGGCTTCTCATCACATGCAGAGTCCCCTTGGGCCTTGGACACGCAACACCATTCCCTTGGCTTGGAACTGCGAACCCGGAGGCCCTTGGGAGTTTGCTGGGGTAAGCCGCACTGGGAAGCACGGCGACAGCAGAGGTAGAATCTGACGCTGGGAGTGGCTGAGATGAGAATGAGATTGCCGCCCTGTCAACTACCGTAGCGTGCAACTCTCTGAATCACGTTTATCCCTGTACACTGGTTTTGCTACTCGGCCGACACCCACTTGCCGACGGGTCATGAGCCTGTACTAGAAATGTGTCGAACCACATTGGCTGGGCACTGCACACTTAGTTGCCGGAAACATTACCCTCTTTCGTCTCTGCCGTACCAAATATGCGTCCGCGGTGTCCGTGGCATGCTATAATCTTTCTCCTCCACAGACCACTGTCCATGTCCACCCCAACACGTGCACGACCAGCTATAGTTACCTATACGAAGGATGCAGTATTGAGGGGGCACGGAAAGTTTACTTTTGCGATATCATCTCGGGGAACGCCACACAGCATAGGGGGAGGGGAGCACGGGCAATTCAAGAACTGGGAGATTTGTTTTTCGGGGTTCATCTCACACCCTTCCACGCGCGCAAACTTACCAATGATGAATCATATCGCTTTTTCCCCTCCCACTATACCAAAAGTAAACTTGGAAACCTTGATCGACTCGGCTGCACCCTATTGTGATTATAAACTGCCTCAATTCTATAGGACGCCGGTCAAAGCCGTCAAGGATCACAGTGACAATAGACACGTTCTTCACTCCGTTCAACTTACCATTGTCTTCAATTGACTTTGCTCTAGGATGCCGAGGCGGACGACATTTCCATTTGGGAAGGACAGGCAAATGCAACCCGTGATCCATGTGATCAATTCCGCCAGCTTCCCTTGGAGTTGCATGCAAAGTCAAAAGTTCCCCAACTCACAGACCTGAGCTACTAAGTCAATTTTCATCGGACTTAATACTACTCAATATTATTCCTCTTCGGCGATGAACCAACTTCAAGGGTCAGCATGGATCATCATAGAAGTTTACTATTTGGCATCCAACTACCTCACTGCCGAGTTCATGCAACATGATTTCGTAGTCACGAGTGATATCCAACAATGTTTGTAAGCTCAAGGAAGTGTAAGTGAACCGATTCCCGCTCAGGAAGCTATGCTCGTCTCGGCGTTTGATCATGGGCTTGTATCGGATTCAAATGGCATTGGCTTCGTGAGCGAAACTCCGTCGCGGACATGTTTACATCCGAGAGCAATTGACTAGATGTTCTTCAAGTCGTGAACACTTGTGTCCCATATCGAGCGAGCCCTTACTAACATTCGTTGTAATTGTACTTCAAAGTCAGAAACCAAGAAGATTACCGCCTTGTCTGGAAATTGTAAGACAAGACGTACAAATCAGATGCCCACGTTCCTCTGCCAGTACAGACGAAGATGAAAATAGCTCACAGCACCAAGAAATTCAAAGAAAGCAGACATGTCGTCGACCTGATGTCGCAACTCAAACCAACGACGCGATGCGGACTAGGTTGAGCTGTGCATGCCAAGCTTGAGGGCCCAACTCCATCACACTGCATAAGCGGGCGATGCTCTCTTCTATTTTCAGCTTCCAATAAAGGAGGCTCGGTTCGTCAGCGCTCCTTGGTCTAGTGGGTATTACATCCTTTGAAAGTGAGAAAGTCGCGCGATACTCGCTTTAGACTCATCCCGAACAACGATGTGCATCAATAAACTAGACCTCTTGTGAAGATACGGACAGACGTTCCCTGTGCAACGACACAGGGTGGCCTGCAAGTGAGAGTTTCTGTGATGCTACCCTTACCCCGAGGCGCAGCAGTAAGCTGTCAGCACACAAAGGATTGCGGGGCTTGGAATCGATCCGAGTAGCTGTCACCAAGGCACATAAGTATGCCAAGTAAACTAACCGCTCGGTCAGACAACGGTGAGTTCAGCTTGACGACCTGGAGAAGTCGGTAAGTATGAGCCTGCCCGGTATCCCACCAACTCCGGTCCCATGAATTCAGTATACCGCCAATATCCCACGTGTCCCTCCACATGACCCGGCGCCGCGGGCCCGACCTTTGACAGAGTCCGTGTCCGTCCGTTAAGGGGGGCCCGCCCGGCCCGGCGCGCTTGGCAGGCCCGAAAGGGACCCCCGAGTCATACGCCAAGTCTATCCCACTGGGAAGCCGGTCGAAATAGCCCCTTAAACAATGCTTGATAAGTTCACGGGCACTGTTTTCATGTTTTCTGGATTGATATAGAAACCCGCTTGTTTCATCCGAATTGGAAAGCAGTGCAATCATTGCGAAACTTGGAACGGACATGGGATGACTCGGGTATCCTTGGCTAGTCTCAGGGGTAAGAAAATAGAATCCAGATTTCAGATTGCCGGATCGATCCATCTTTCTATAGCCCGTAGCAAAAATGATTTGTTATCTTGTTCGCCAAGAAGAACGTGATTCTGCAAATTGCCCATTATAGGCCTGCTAGCGACCTGCAAAGAGCTTCACGGTGAACGATTTGTTTCTGATTGAATCACCTATGACTATTGCCGTAGCACCAAGCTGCATCACTTTGACCGGGCCCCTGAGCGCAAGCCTCGTTCAAGGCCGTCAATGAGCCTCCTGGCAATGCGCGCGGGCTCCCCTGATCGACCCCTTTCCGTCTCTTCCTCGAAGCTGCATCGCTCCGTCCACCAGTCTAGCCACGTCTCGGCCCGCGCACCCTCGTCTGCCCGAAGAAGCCCTACGCTGACGTCGATGACATCTGGTCGCCAACTGTCGCGCCAGAATATCGTTGCACCGCAGTTACCACAGAATTCACGAAAGACACCAGGTGAGGATTCGTATGTCTTCACGACCCCGGCGGGCAAGTCTGCGAAGTTGAGAGGGAGGATTCCGGACTGGCCGTCGTCTGGTCCGGGGATGTGAAAGAAGATGTTGCATCGGGGGACGAATGCCCAGGTCTGAACCTCAAATCCGGAGATGAGGCGGCAAGACCGGCAAGCACAGGTTCCAGCCAAGTACTTTGTGCCGTTGCTTCGAATCCACCACTTGACGGTGTCGGGGTTCTTCATAAACTCGGCGGAATGTTCGACTTGAGCATATTGTAGGTCGGGGAAGCCGGAGTGCGGTAGATAGCTTTCTTCGGTTGGCCGTGTGATGTGGTAGCTCACCCTGCCACAGGCGCATGAGGCGTGCAGAGAGTCTTTTGAACAGCCAGCTGGCGTGGGAGGAAGCTTCGTCGTGGACTGTGATGATGGAGTGACCGGCGTTGTCGTCGATTCTAGCCGCTGTCCATCAATCTCGAACAGCCATATCGAGATCCCGCCGTCTTTGGTATCGGAAACGCCGGTGTGCCTTGCAAAACGCGCGTCCGCGCCAACGTCGTCGGCCGTGTTATGCAGTAGGACGCCAGTGGCTGCTTCCCACACAGTCACTCCATCAATATCTCTGCGTCTCAGGACATGGCATCCGCACGTGCTGCAAAAGTATCTTGTCCACCCGTCAACGCCATGAAACGCAGTCGTATCATCCGTTTGATGAGGTTCATGAATGGGGTAGTAAGAGGCGCAGAGAATGCCTGTGGCGTGTCGATCAACGTCGCCATGGTTGATGGACAACTTGAGAGTCTCTCCGTGAGCAACGACAGACTGAACCTGCTGCGAGACGCCGCCGCAAAGGCAGGAGATGTTGAATGTATTGGGTGACATAATGGCCTTCTTTAACGTCAAAGACTTGGAAGTAATTATGCTGCAAGCTGCAGCAGGCGATTGATTTATATGATGAACGATCTCTACTACACGACCTTGACATCGTACGTGTAATGAATGATTCAAGCTTGGATAAGCTGTCAGCAGATTCCCCGCATCAGCTTGCAGCATTTGATAACGGCACGGCCAGCCGGATCCCGATCAACCACCCCGAAAGCGGAGAGTCTTCTAAAGTGTCGGCGAATATCGACCCCGCAATCGCCGGGGGCCTGCGTCGATCTAGGGCGTCTGTAAGGCGCGTTTACAGCCAACCGCGATTTGGGTGCGGAATATCGGGAAGCCTCTTTAGTGAGCCATGCGTTGTCATCTGACTGGTTGATTCTCCGCGGGTCTGATGCGAGATGCGCGGAGTATCGCACGACAGCCATGTTCTCCCAGAATCGTCATCGTTGACAGATTTACTGAGCGGTAATTATCCAGAGACTCCGTACTTGCGCCCGATAACGCCGGTTAAGGGCTGAAAACCTTTGGCAACAGCGTCAATAGCCAGGAGGTGGGGTGTTGAGTTCAAGGTTGCCCAGTACTCCAAGTCTGTTCGCCGCAGCCTTTGGGGCATGACTGTGGCTCACTCGTACGACGAGACTGTTCGAATGTGAATTGTACTAGTCGCAGCCAAGAACATCTCCTAATATCACCTTTGGTACAGCTTGAAGACCGGGCAAACACGCCACCTGAAAAGCGTACGCATTCTTCCATCGCGCACACACGTGGGCCGTCCCATTATGTAGTTACACCATACTGGACTTGAGAGGAACCTGGAGGGAGGTAAAACGATTACCAAACTTGAAGGCTGCAGCAGCATTTGATAGCAATGATAAACTATAATTATACCAAGCTGGTAACTTACAGACTGCCGATTGGCTTGTTGTCCTAGGTCGTCATCTTTCAATGACCTGCGATGCTCTTCAGCGGTCCAGCTTGGACGAAGTAGATTCAGAAACTAGACGGGAAAACCTACGCCCCCCCGGGATCCCTTCTCAGAATAGCGGAATACAATCATTTGAGCG